TCAAATGTGCTGTACAGTATCGATACGTTGCTTGAATCCAATGTCATTTACTAAATTTGCTATAACTTTTCTATTTTCAAATCGATTTGCAAAAAATTTGGATCTATATACTTTGAAATTAAATAAGCTTTAACATAGCATAAAAATAAGAGCAAAAAGTTTGCAGCTTTTAGGTGTAATTCACAGTAGAATAACGATGCGACTTAAAATTGTGTCCGATTTCACTAATAAATTGGCAGATAACTCTTAAACTGATAATTTGATTGCTAAACATTGTATAGCAGGTTCGTAGGGATTTCAAAGACCTTTAATCTGGTGGAGATCTTTTTGTGGTGTGATAATCAGAACCGGATATTTTTGGAAAAAATTGAAAATGCTGTTTCCTCAATATGAAAAAAAACGATAATTTCGCAAATTCTTAAAACCTATTCTACTTTTTTAATTTTTGACCTCATATTCAGATTGTGTGAGTTATTTTACATAGCAAATGACTATAAAATTCACGACTTTCAACTATTTTGTTACAAATTTTTTTCCCAGAATGCATATGGTTTTCTAAATATTCAAATGCAACGCGCAAGTACTTAGAGTTATCATATTCGAATAAAATTTTGCACAGCTTATTTTTAGACCAAAACACATCTTTTTCCGCCCGGCAAACCAAATTTTAATTTTAACGAACGGTGTAGTGTCGCTATTTATTTTTAACCGACTTCCAAAAAAGGAGGAGGTTATCAGTTCGTCGGAATATTTTTTTTTTTTTTTATGTATGTTACCGCATAACTTTGGACCACGTCAACCGATTTCGATAATTCTTTTTGCGTCGGAAAGGTAGTGTCTCAGAGGTGGTCCCATACTAATCTGGTTAAGATCCGATCAGCGGATCATGAGATATATATATATATATTTTTTTTTTATATGGGAGTTGAAGTCGGTTTTTTTGTTTGCTAAAAATTACTTGTTGCTGCTTCGTCTTTTCGATTTGCAGTTTTGAGCGTCATATTGTAATGACAGTTTTTATATATACCATTTGACAGAATAATAAATGACTTGCGTAAGGCGGAAGGTGAGTTAAATTTTATTTGGAAGTGCAATTTAGTTAATAAAATACCAATTTGTTAATGAAGTATACTTTTAAAGCAATTTTAAACATTTTTCGCTTAGAAAAAATAAGGCTCATGTTTTTTATGCAACACATTTTGAGTATTTTTGGTAAATCACGACTATCCGTCGTCCTGACTGACTGTAAGGCCATTTACACCTGACCTTTTTAATGCAGAGGATGTATTCTTTTTCTCTACCACTTTAATTGGGTACCGCATCAAATACTTTAAGGACTGAAGCATTTACATACATTCCAGCACTGCAATGGCCGCTTCATCAGATGATCTCATATTCGACGTTACAGCATCGTACATCAGGACGGAAATGATACTACTACTGTTTGCTACTACTTTTTATGTATCTCGTTGATCCAAAGTATCACTTGCAGGCCAAGTAGACAAAGTTCTTTCATTTCAAGAAATAATAACTCTCAACGTTGACATGGGAGCCTAGATCCGCATGCGCTAGCTGCCAGTTCGTCGCGTCCTCGTTTACCACTCGCTTTCTATAGTTATTCATATATGAGCATTTCCAGCGGAAAGTCTACCGTGAAAAAAAGATAAAATTGCTTAATCTAACTTGTACAAATGTCACGTAACGCCAAATTGGAAATGCTCATATTCGATTCCATATCCAACTTCGAAAAGCGATCAGATGTCATCCGACAGTGCCGGCAATTTTACTGCGCCGTTCGTTTCTACATCTCTTATTATCTTATCCAACATAAATCGCACGAAACGAAGTCCCTTTTTTTTCAGTCTCGGAGCAAACGCCTCGGAGAAGTCATACCAATTTCTTACGGAGCTGATAGTGGTTCTCAACGTCATTTTACGCAGCAATATCAAATTCATAGGTGGCGGGATAAAGTCAACTTCTTTTCGTTCTATTCTATATCTGGTACACAAATAAATGGCAAATTTTCCAGGTTTGAAGGAACACCGACGGTATGAGCTTGAGGTCTTCGCTATCTGGACATATTTCACTAGGTCACTGTCCTTGTTTTCCGGAACCTTCGTTTTTGCCAGCATGTTAGGCTCTTTGTATTCAAGCCTTTTCGGCCTCACTCTTTTTATTTCTTATTATACGCCTCTCCTCCTGTATCAGCCATCGACAACGTTCTACAACAGCTCGTTCACCGGAGTGTAAAGCAGTACTTGGTGACGAGGTCTCTCCCCCAGCACAAATCCATCACCTCCTTCACACCTAGTGAGTGGCGGGATGGTCTGACTATGCTTTCACAAGGACAGCTATCAACCCCAGTAAGCCGAGCAACTGTAACTGCATATACACTCACAATTGATAAGTTTTGACTATTATTTTTTTATGTATGTTACTGCATAACTTTGGACCACGTTAACCGATTTCTTAAAATTCTTTTTTTAGAGGAAAGGTGTTGCCTCACAGGTGGTTTAAATCCGATCAGCGGATCATGAAGAAATTAACGATAATCTTAAATTTTTATATGAGAATGTAACTCGGTTTTGTTTTTTTGCTTAAAAATTACTTGTTATCATTTTTTTGCAATTATAAGGCAACATTTTTTGTAAAAGAGAATTAAATTTATTATAAAAATTTTGAGTATGCAATTTTGTGGCCAATTCAAAGTTAGTGAAATAAAGTGCAAGTTTTAAGTAGCCAAGACTTACCGTTGATTTTTGGAAATTTTTTTTCGTACGATAAAAAAATTTTCACAATGTTAAACTCAATAATTTATGTTAAGTGAGCTTTTTTAAAATAGTATAAGATTTCCAAGAAAAATTTTAAGATATTTATTGAAAAGTTTTAACTATTTGCCGAAAACCGAAAGAAACGTTAAAATAAGTTTTGAGGGAGTGAATTTATGAGAGAATCATAAGAGACTTTTTTATAGGCTTCAATTTTCTTCAAAAATATACATACATACATATCGCTCATTCCGCTATATTGACTTAAAAACGAGCTTTAAAATTTCAAATTGAAAACAACTTTTTCTTGTCTATTAATATGAAAAACCTAAATGTGCCATAAACGATCTATAACTATACTATATCACTTCCAGAAAAAATTTCACAAGGGATTTAGGAAAAAAAAGTAGTTGTTGTTTAACCAGTCTAATGTACTACATAGTCTCGGACCTTTTAGCTATGCAGAAAGCCCACGGCAAGGGGAAATACACTTTCATTAAGAATTTCCCAACACTTTCTCTATAATATTCGTAAAACATTTGTACGCAATACATACGGCCATATTCGCACACCGTAAGCTTTACAAGAAGTTCGTGGAACCTGTCGGCA